GCTGTCCGAAAATCTGTTGAAAAAAGGGGATGAATTTCGGTAGTAATTAGAGCATAATTAAGCTTAATTCATGTATAAATTGCTTGAGTTGACTGTTGTGAGATTTTGAAGAAAAATCCCATGAGATTAGGTATGGTTTTGCAAATTTTTGGAAGTTGTAGTAACTGTTCACGGCGTGATCACTGTTCACGGGCACTGTTCACGCACTAATGCCCAACAATTAACAAGGATTAAATGTTTAGTTTGTAATATAATAACAAATTTGGAGATGTCCGATCATGTGGAGACTGATAGAAATAACATCGTGATTAGGGATAGTTCTAATGATGATTTCACTTTGAATTTGTGGTAGTACGGTATTAATTTTGGAATATTTTGGTTAGGTTCTTGATCGTTCTGTCACCCTAGCACTTGGGTTAAGCCTTCTGTTTTGTGCAATTTGAGGTAAGTAAATTTTGGTAACGCTCTTCGATTTCAAAGCATGTTTTAAATTGTTTTTGAGATGGTGGTAAGGTTTAAATTGATTTTATTAGCATTGAGCATGATTGATTTGAAATGAAATTATTTTTGTTTTCATTGAGTAGAGCATGCTCACTTGGAATTTACTGATCTGCTCTGATGATTTGAGAATTTTTGTAAATTATGATTTTCTGTTAAATCCATGTGTCATAACCCAATTTTAATTGGGGCTAAATGATAAAATTAGAAGGCAATGGACTAGTTTTTATAAAGGCTGGAAACTTGAAGGGCTGAGAAGAAAAGTGGCAAAACGACGTCGTTTTGATTGTAGGTTGAAATAAAGAGCCCTAGCCGCCCAAGACTCATCCCGTTGCTCTGCCTCCAGCCTCTTTCAAACAGAAAAATCATAAAATTTCCTTGGCTTATCCTAAATCTACTCAAGTTTTGAAGAGATTTTCGGAGATTGAAAGTCATCAACAAGAGGCGCAAAAGAAGAGTTCGAAATTGATTCAAAGTGGGGAGTTCTAAACTCAAAAGGTGTGAATCTAGACTTGAAAAGGGGTAGATGTGGGGAAAACTAAGAAACCCCATTCCAAATAGGATTGGGTTGTTATCTTAGGGATTGGGATTTGAGTATTAGAAGCACATTAGGATTGGGTTTTACTTTAGTCTATAAAAAGGAGGGGCTTTTGGCTTCTAAAAGGGCGGAAATTGGGAGGAAGAGAGATTGGAAAATTGGGAAGAGAAGGAGAGAAATCCGAGAGTGTGAAGCAAAGGAAGGAGGAAATCTTGTATTTGAAGTTTACAGCAAATAAATAAATTGGCTTTTCTTCATTACAGGTGTGTTCTCTTGAGAATATGAAAGAATTTGGATCTTGAATCTTAGTTTTCTGCATCTGTTTCCTTTTTCTTTCTTCTGTTTTGTTTTCTTGGTTGCTATATTAATCTGGAGAAAATTTGTATTGGGTGTTTTTCTTGTTGCATATATATATATATATATATTTTTTCCCCTTCATTTGTTTGTCCCCAGTCCTGTTCGTCACTTGGTTTCATGGCTGTTTCCTGGTTTAATCAGAGTAATTTAACAAAATCAATTACTGTCATTTTAAGTTTAGGTTATCATTTAGAAGCTGCTGTTTGGGTGAGGATATGGGTACTGTGATTTAGTTTATGCTCCGGTAATATGAAATAATG